TCTCCACAATGGCCAAGACCAGAGAGCTGTGTAAGGACATCAGGGATACAATTGTAGACCTGCACAAAGCTGGGATGGGCTATAGGACAATAGGCAAGCAGCTTGGTGAGAAGGCAACAACTGTTGGCGCAATTATTAGAAAATGGAAGAAGTTCAAGATGACGGTCAATCACCCTCAGTCTGGGGCTCCATGCAAGATCTCACCTCGTGGGGCATCAATGATCATGAGGAAGGTGAGGGATCAGCCCAGAACTACACGGCAGGACCTGGTCAATGACCTGAAGAGAGCTGGGACCACAGTCTCAAAGAAAACCATTAGTAACACACTACGCCGTCATGGATTAAAATCCTGCAGCGCACGCAAGGTCCCCCTGCTCAAGCCAGCGCATGTCCAGGCCCGTCTGAAGTTTGCCAATGACCATCTGGATGATCCAGATGAGGAATGGTAGAAGGTCATGTGGTCTGATGAGACAAAAATAGAGCTTTTTGGTCTAAACTCCACTCGCCGTGTTTGGAGGAAGAAGAAGGATGAGCACAACCCCAAGAACACCATCCCAACCGTGAAGCATGGAGTTGGAAACATCATTCTTTGGGGATGCTTTTCTGCAAAGGGGACAGGACGACTGCACCGTATTGAGGGGAGAATGGATGGGGCCATGTATCGCGAGATCTTGGCCAACAACCTCCTTCCCTCAGTAAGAGCATTGAAGATGGGTCGTGGCTGGGTCTTCCAGCATGACAACGACCCGAAACACACAGCCAGGGCAACTAAGGAGTGGCTCCGTAAGAAGCATCTCAAGGTCCTGGAGTGGCCTAGCCAGTCTCCAGACCTGAACCCAATAGAACATCTTTGGAGGGAGCTGAAAGTCCGTATTGCCCAGCGACAGCCCCGAAACCTGAAGGATCTGGAGAAGGTCTGTATGGAGGAGTGGGCCAAAATCCCTGCTGCAGTGTGTGCAAACCTGGTCAAGACCTACAGGAAACATATGATCTCTGTAATTGCAAACAAAGGTTTCTGTACCAAATATTAAGTTCTGCTTTTCTGATGTATCAAATACTTATGTCATGCAATAAAATGCAAATTAATTACTTAAAAATCATACAATGTGATTTTCTGTCTCTCACAGTTGAAGTGTACCTATGATAAAAATTACAGACCTCTACATGCTTTGTAAGTAGGAAAACCAGCAAAATCGGCAGTGTATCAAATACTTGTTCTCCCCACTGTATATAGGAGGTCCCATACCGGGAAGAAATTAATTATACTTTCACCGCTGAATATGGGTATAAAAATTGTCTGACTTGCAACTACATGTGGACTGCATGACCTTTACAATAACCATGTGATCAAAGGTCATGAACTTTCAACTGCAGTCGATTGGACATTTCTGCAGTTGCTCCTAAATGGTTGATGTCGCCACCTATCATTGGTTATTATCAATACATGTTTACTGTTTTGGGTGGATTACTATTTAGGAGTTTAAATACATATTTATCCTTACACCCTTACGATCTAATTACATAGGCCTACATGTGATCCACATTTATAACATACATTCATAGACCTACTACGGTGCCTTCAGAAAGTATTCAAACCCCTTGACTTTTTCCTCATTTTGTTGTGTTACAGCCTGAATTTAAAATGGATTAAATTGAGATTTTTTAGTCAATACCCCATAATGTCATCGTGGAATCCTTTTTATTTTTTTATTTTTGTTAACAAATTAATAAAAAAATGAAAAGCTGAAATGTCTTGGGTCAATAATTATTCAACCCCTTTCTTATGGTAAGCATAAATAAGTTCAGGAGTAAAAATGCGCTTAACAAGTCACATAATAAGTTGCATGGACTAGTGTTTAACATGATTTTTGAATGAATACTTAATCTCTGTACCCCTCATACAATTATCTGTAAGGTCCCTCAGTTGAGCCCAAAAGCAGACATTGAATATCCCTTTGAGCATGGTGAAGTTATTAATTACACTTTGGATGGTGTATCAATACATGTGGTCACTACAAAGATACAGGCGTCTTTCCTTACTCAGTTGCTGGAGAGGAAGGTAACCACTCAAGGATTTCACCATGAGGTCAATGGTGACTTTAAAATAGTTACAGAGTTTAATGGCTGTGATAAGAGAAAACTGAGGATGGATGAACAACTTTGTAGTTAATCCACAATACTAACCTAAATGACAGAGTGAAAAGAAGGTAGCCTGTACAGAATAAAAAATATTCCAAAACATGCATCCTGTGTATAATAAGGCACTAAAATAAAACTGCATAAAATGTGGCAAAGAAATGAACTTTATGTCTTGATTAAAAAGTGTTATCTTTGGGGCAAATCCAACACAACACATCACTGAGTACCACTCTTCATATTGTCAAGCATGGTGGTGGCTGCATCATGTTATGGGTATGCTTGTCATCGGCAAGGACTAGGGAGGTTTTAGGGGGATAAAAGTAAATGGATTAGAGCTAACCACAGGCAAAATCCCAGAGGAAAACCTGGTTCAGTCTGCTTTCCAACAGACACTGGGAGACAAATTAATCTTTCAACAGGACAATAACCTAAAACACAAGGCCAAATAAATATACACTGTGTACAAAACATTAGGACGACGTAGACTGACATTTCCACGACATAGACTGACATTTCCATGACATAGACTGACATTTCCACGACATAGACTGACATTTCCACGACATAGACTGACATTTTCACGACATAGACTGACATTTCCACAACATAGACTGACATTTCCACGACAGACTGACATTTCCACGACATAGACTGACATTTCCATGACATAGACTGACATTTCCATTACATAGACTGATATTTCCATGACATAGACTGACCAGGTGAAAGCTACGAACCCTTATTGATGTCACCTGTTAAATCCATTTCAATCAGTATAGATGAAGGGAAGGAAACAGGTTAAAGAAGGATTTTAAGTCTTGAGACAATTGAGACATGGATTGTGTATGTGTGCCATTCAGAGGGTGAATGGGCAAGACAAAATATTTAAATGCCTTTGAACGGGGTATGGTAGTTGGTGCCAGGTGCACCGGTTTGAGTGTGTCAAGAACTGCAATGCTCCTGGGTTTTTCACACTCAACAGTTTCCCGTGTGTATCAAGAATAGTCCACCACCCAAAGGCAAGTATGTGTAGCTGCAGCCCAATATGGCGCCCGGAGTATAGGCGAGTGGGTGTGTTGAAAGGAGTGGGTGTGTCGAAAAGAGTGGGTGTGTCGAAAAGAGTGGGTGTGTCGAAAGGAGTGGGTGTGTCGAAAAGAGTGGGTGTGTCGAAAAGAGTGGGTGTTTGTAAAGTGAATCAGATAATTGTGCAGATTTGTTGCCACTCAAGACTGTTTTGCGTGGCTGGTTGGGCTGCACTACGAGTCGATAGTAAGTCAATAGTAAGTCGATAGTAGGTCAATAGCAGGCCACCAGTGCTCCAGTGTTGTGTCTGCCGAGTGCCAACTTGAAGTGCTTCCTACTGGGTATCATGGTCGTGTCGCAGGCGGCAGCTACATAGTCATTTTTTTCTCTCACATGATTTTATTTCAAGTAGGATAGCAGCCTACACAAGAAATAACTAATATTGATAACCAGCTAGATGTCACCTTGATACATACAGTCTACTACTCAATGGGGAAGACATGAACAGAGAAAGTTAAGCGCTGTTCAGTGTTCACTATTAATGCAAGTCACCACACCCTAATAGGGATTTGTTTTATCTTAATCATATCACAATCAACTTTTTTTACCAGTTGAATGTAGACACAACTGTAATACTTTTAAAAAGATGTTTCCAAAATAAATATTTTATGCAAATATGCAAATTAGGTGATGCTCATTATATGTGCATATTTGCATATCAAGCACATACATTTTTCTGGACACTGGATGTTTTCATTTTGTTAACACACTCCTGACTTTTCCAAAGCAGATTAAAATACTAATTACACATTTTTGGCAAATTTTTCCAAAGAAAATGATATCTTGAATAAAACATTTATAACATATCAACAAGTCTGGAGAATATATCTAAGCATAACCACACACAATTTGGTGAATGCTGATGCTTCTGATGTTGAGAAAAATGTGGTGGCATGTGGGAAGAGTCGGACAAGTACACTGACCTTAAGACTACTAAACACCTACTTAGACCCAATCACCATCTCTTCAAAGGAAATTACTAAATATAGTCCAGTTTGTAACATTCTCTATGAAATGGGATTTTAAATTATGGGGAAATCAATTACATTTTTGTCATTTAGCAGACGCTCTTATCCAGAGTGCATACCTTTTCATACTTTTTTCATACTGGCCCCCCGTGGGGATCGAACCCACAACCCTGGCGTTGCAAATGCCATGCTCTACCAACTGAGCTACAGAGGGCTTTGAAATTATAGTAGTGAGCTTTGAAATTATTGATATAATTCAATTTTAAAGTGGTTAAAGAAAATATATTTTTTCCTCAGGTTTTTGAAATGTTTATGTTTAGTTTGTGAAAATACTAATATTAAAAGACCAAAATACCAACAAATCTCTAAATTGATAGATAGATGCAAAAACTTCAGCCTGTGGTGTCTGGCCTTACATTTAGGATGTTTATTTGTGAGTTTTAATCGGTTGAGCTTCTTGTTCAGCAAATCACGAGCTCTGTTTTCACGCTTGTTTTTGAAATTCAGCCGCTGTGCCAATTGGCTGTGGGTTTGTAATTGGATGACATCACATGCTAGGGTGGGTGTAGCTGAGGCAAGCACACACATTTTCTTCAGAATATAAATTTAGCATTTTTTTGGTTGAAAATCATTATATTCATAAAATGATCTTTACAATAATTCCTCCAAATAGAGGAATAGATTTGATTATTTCTTGCGGGGAAAATAAACAAGGCAGACTTGATCAACGCAGAACACTGTCATGACAAAACATTTATAATACCAGTCGAACAAGGTCTCAGACGTTTGGAAGGTGTTAACCACATCACACTAATCTTGTGAATTGTTCCGGAGGAGATATTCAGCCTGAAATAGATAAACACAAAATATAGTATTTAGAAGAAACAAAAAAGGACAATTCGGTTGAAAACGCTTCTTTACTGTAGGCCTAGCTACTTCGGTACCTGACAACAATCCACATTCATTTATTCTTGAAGTGCCAACCTATATAATATTATTAAGAGTAGAAGTAGGCTACTACCCTATTGAATCCATTTGCTTCTATGGAAGACATGGGTCTATGTTATTTCACTCATCAGTGCTCTGTCTACTGGTCTCTGATGTATGAGTGTACAGTATATTGTTTCTGTATGTCCCTTGCTGGTGACAAGTCTGATTTTCTCTTTGTGGGATTAATAAAGTTTATTAAATAAAAAAATATCTAAACAAATGGAATAATAACATTACCAGGAAGTCTACCGGGTCGTCTGGCTTGGCCTTGCAGCACTCCATCATGCCCTCGGTGAGAGAGGGCATTACGTAACTCATCAGGTAGTTCCTCAAGGGGGCGGAGCGAGCCACCAGCAGCTCACGCTCCTGCCTCTTCACCTCAGTCACGTGACGGTTCTAGAGACACACACACACACACACACACACACACACAACGTACGTACAACTCCGCTAAACTAAAACTACAGCTCCATGGTTTACGTTGTTGCTGGTGGCCCACTCTTCCATGGTATACAAAGAGTGGTTTTAAGAGTTTATAGATCTGAGAGGACTGGATAGGGGTAAGCAATATGGAGATGAGCCTATAAGGATTCCAAAATGGAATCAAATCTCAATGAGTAATGTGAGAGAGATGTTTCCTGTAATGGCACCCTATTCACATTATGGCATACTACTTCTGATGCAGCCCTTCTCTTACCCACTCCTCTAGCTGTGCGGCCATCTTGGCAGCGGTCTCAGCCTCCCTCCTCTTCCAGTCTGCTGTCTCCAGTACCAGGCGCTGTGCTGTCTCCTCTCCGGACTTCCTCTCCATCTCCTCTCTCTCCTCAGGGTGGGTCCGTAGTTCCTGGGATGCCCCACCAGCCTGGTGATCTTCTCCATCACAGCACCATATTCAGGGTCGACGGCATTGTTCACCTCTGACAGACAGACATCAGACTATGAAAGACTGACAGACTTCCTCTCAATGCGTTAAGTTCTATTCAATCACTATTTACTACAATTACTATACACCGGTTCTGATAATTAAGTTGAATATTAGGGTTTCAAAATGACCTTATCCATCGCATTATTCTCTTTTGGTAAATCAGTATCTCCAGTTTTTCGGCCTTACCAATGTGCTCTGGGTGAATCTCCAGCTCGTCAAAGTAGTTCAGAACCGTTTCATCTTCCACGTTGGCTTTTCTATATTTCTTCAGCCGGCTAAGGTACTCGTCTTTAGAGTAGCGCATCTTCTCTGCCACACTCTCAGGTAGGTTCTGCACCCGCTCCTTTAAGAAGTCATCAGATGCCTCCAGGGAGAAAATGAACTCTGCAAAACAGACAGACGGGGGATCAATAATAGCCCTGCAATACTGTGCAATTCAGTGTAACATATATATTAACAATTACTTACCAGGAATGATCTTCTTGTTGTAGGCAGGCATTTTGGACCTGGGATAATCCGGTTCCATATCTTCATCTGGAAAACATCAGTGTTTAAGAGACCAAGCAGGATGACAACGGTCAGTGTGGAGTTTGGAAACAATAGTTCCAATGAAAAGGTTATTTTGCAATATCTTCAATGTTTCAATTGTAAATAATGTTAATTTGATTTATGTTAACCATAGAAGATCTCCTTGGCCTGATCGTAGGACTTGGGGAAGCCGTCGAGGACGAAGCCATGGTTCCTGCAAGGCGTTGGAGTTCAGCTTATCACGCATGATATGGTAAACAAGCCTGTCGCTCAGGCGACCTGCAAGAATAATGATGACATTTATGAAATCACTAACACTGTTTCAGAAATTTTTGAAAACAATGTAACAAAAGAAACATCTTCATAATTGGAAATCGAACAAATGATAGAGATGAGGGGCGGAGTCTAAATGACATCTACAAACAAGCTTTCAGGAACAACTGTGGAATATTAACACACCTTCATTTTGCTCCATGCTGTCCTTCAGAGAGTCCAGTTGGTCCTGAGCGTTACTGACCGCCTCTTCACTCTCTCCCTCCTGCTCAGCCCCATTCACAGCCTCCTCCTGACATATAATGAGCAACTCAAATGAATACCTTAATTAATATATTGTAAGATATTGTTTTACAAAATGGTTCCCACACCTATTGATACTGTAGAGTGTAAGTGTATAGTACAGAGAGACCTGTAATATCAGAAAATAACAGGGGTGCATTTCTTTTGAACTACCACAAGGGGGAGGTATTTCCTATTTTACAAGAGAGAATAAATATGAAGTGCCTATACAAGCGTAATGCCTTTGCTTTTACTGACCAGATGTTGCATCTTCTCATCAATGACCTCTTGGAGCTTGATGTGGTGCAGTTTGTAATGTTTACACAGTGTCTCTGCCACAGTGCTCTTCCCCACCGCTGGAGGCCCCAAGAGACAGATTCTGATGGGCTGATGGGAAAACAAAAGAGCATGTTAAATATTTTAACCATTTATGGCTTGAATATGAGTATATAATATCATAGAAAATAATATAATGACACTATCTATAATCTATAATCTATCTATAAACCTAAACATGGTACACATTCTCTGTATTGCTGTGTAACGTAGCTTTCCTTCCAATAAGAGACAATACACACGTTCACATTCTAAATTGGTGCTGGGAAAATCCATTCAGACCCTAGCTAAGAACAGAAGAGGTAAACATACAGTAGTAGGTCTGGTCCCTCACCAGTAGTAGTCTCAACAGTTTGTATTCCTCCACCACGCCGTTGATGTTATCAATGATGCCAGCCTCCGACACCCAGTGAAGGTTGAAGGTTTCCTTCAGAAAGATTGGCTCTATCCGCAGGTTGACACTCAGGTGATCCACATCAGCGTTCTGGAAAACAAGGTGAAATTGATGCTCCAACATTGACCAGACCCGGACCTACTGCTGTTCTGCCAATTTCCCATTGGTCAACCAAGACTGCACAGACAGATCTGGGACCAGGCTAGTGAAGATATGCTCCAACTGACAACGGTCATTTCTGAATTAGCTTTCCTTAACCTGAGGTGGGGGATCAAAACAGACAGACCGTAAGAGCATTGGTGAGGTAGGCCTCCTCCTTGGGGACTTTCTTGATCTTCCCTGGACCGAGCACAAAGCTTATTATCTAGCAGGGGGGATACAGAAAACAACACCAACTATTTTGTAGATCTACAAATCTATTTAAAAAGAAAGAAATGCAACAATTTTACCAATAAACTTGAAATGATCAACAAGATGTCTGTCTGGCTTAACCTATTTACCTTCACAATATCCTCAAAAGTGTTATTGGAATCATCCACAGCGATGAAATAATGTATATTTGGCTTGTGGTCGATTACATTCTGAATAACCCTTGTAGACAGAAGTAGACAATATTACAGAATTAGTATTTATTTTTACCCAAACTCTGGCAGATACCCTTAAATAAGCAATAATAGAACATCAAGACAATGGAATGGACACATTGAAAAATACAAACCCTGCAAGGTCGTTGACATGAATGGTAGGGATAACATTTGTGCCAGGCCCAAAAACAGGAACTCTTGCAATCTCCCCCAACCAAGACGCCTTGAGGATTGGAGCCAGAGGAAAGAGTGAGATAGAAAACATCCATCGAAGCCTTCATAGAATAATAATGTCTCAGTTAATTAGTTCAGATGTACCTTGAAGAAGTAGTGGAGGAGGTTTTCCCCCATTCCATACTGAACACCTGCTGCCACAACATAACTGGACAGCTTGGACTTTTTCTGGATGGACAATAAAAAGAGTTGTTGTTTTTGCCGTTGTTTTTGTTTTGTTGTTGCTGACATTTGCCCTGCCCAGTACACTTACAGTTTTGCCCAGCTTGAGCACCGTTTTCTCTGCGTTGGCGTGCTCCTTGAAGTTAGGATGATGTCTTTTCCTCCTGTAGTCGTCCTCTGTCAGAGGAATCTCTGGGTCATTCTAAGGACAGAAAAGATATGAGGAATATTCAGAAAAGTGAATTGACACATTCATTACATAGTGATTAGGCTACATAAGAATTGGAATAGAAACTTACAGGATCGGCTGGCTTGCTCATTGCCCAGGTCATGACTGACGATATCAAAATGAATACCTTCTGAGACGCAAAACTCTCAATATCTGAGTGAAGAGCTGTAGCATAAAGGAAGAGGAGGCATCATCTTACTGTAGGTGCAGTAGGCTAGAGGTCATGCAGTATATGCAAAGTAACTCAAAAAGGTCCAGTGAGACAATATGACAGTCTGAGTAGGGCTGTCAAACGTCAAAAATAACATCTAGTTAATCGCAGGAATTGCTGTGATTAATCACAATTAATCACATTCTGAATTTGCTCAAATTGAGCTGTAATTTAAGATGTTTTTAAAATACAAAATACATTACAAGAATATTGACATCTTTATTTTGTCCAAAGTAATGGTTTGTAAAATCCGGCAAATTGATAAAGCTCACTTTTAACCTCAATGTCAACTTGTTTTGACATTGCATTGTTGTTTTTAGCTGTATAGATGATGTATTTTGGATTTTTCCAGTGTATTTTCAACGCCTTCAGACAATGCGCTTAATCACAATAAAAAAGAATGAGTGCACTAAAATTGCAAAAAGTTAACTGATTAACTCTGACAGCCCTATCTGAGAGTGAATGTATCATGACGGTTTCATCCAACACTGGTCCATAGCCCACCTGAAATGGCCCAAGTTGCCTCATCTATCAGCTCTGCTGTTGCATTTTCAGAGATATTGTAAACCACCACATCACATTCCAATAGCCTTGGCAGGAGCTGATCTCGGTTCTGTGACTGGAATGGAAATGGAAAGATGTCAATGACAGTCGTAGATGAAAATTGCATGCCTTGTTGATTATATCATATCAAATCAAATTGTATTTGCCACATGCGCCGAATACAACAGGTGTAGACCTTACAGTGAAATGCTTACAAGCCCTTAACCAACAATGCAGTTTTAAGAAAAATAAGTGTTAAGTAAAAAATAGATGATAAAAAAAAAAAAAAAAATAGAATAAATAATTAAAGAGCAGCAGTAAATTAACAGCAGCGAGGGGGGGGGGGGGGGGGGGGGGGGGGGGATGCAAATAGTCCAGGTAGCCATTTGATTAGCTGTTCAGGAGTCTTATGGCTTGGGAGTAGAAGCTGTTAAGAAGCATTTTGGACCTAGACTTTGCGCTCCGGTACCGCTTGCCGTGAAGTAGCAGAGAGAACAGTCTATGACTTGGGTGGCTGGAGTCTTTGACAATTTCTAGGGCCTTCCTCTGACACCGCCTGGTATAAAGGTCCTGGATGGCAGGAAGCTTGGCCCCAGTGATGTACTGGGCCGTATGCGGTCGGAGGCCGAGCAGTTGCCATTCCAAGCAGTGATGCAACCAGTCAGGATGTTCTCGATCGTGCAGCTGTAGAACCCATGCCAAATCTTTTCAGTCTCCTGAGGGGGAATAGGCTTTGTCGTGCCCTCTTCACGACTGTCTTGGTGTGTAGCTGATAGATGATAGATGATGCCTCCCGAGTGGCGCAGTGGTCTAAGGCAGTGCAAGCTGTGCCACTAGAGATCCTGGTTCGAATCCAGGCTCTGTCATAGCCGGCCGCGACCGGGAGACCCATGGGGAGGCGCACAATTGGCCCAGTGTCGTCCAGGGTAGGGGAGGGAATGGCCGGCAGGGATGTAGCTCAGTTGGTAGAGCATGGCGTTTGCAACGCCAGGGTTGTGGGTTCGTTTCCCACGGGGGGCCAGTATGAAAAAAAAAAATGTATGCACTCACTAACTGTAAGTCGCTCTGGATAAGAGCGTCTGCTAAATGACGTAAATGAAAATGTTTGGACCGTGATAGTTTGTTGGTGACCAGCCTTTCAAAGCACTTCATGGCTACAGACGTGAGTGCTAGGGGTCTGTAGTCATTTAGGCAGGTTACCTTAATGTTCTTGAGCACAGGGACTATGGTGGTCTGCTTGAAACATGTTGGTATTACAGACTCAGTCAGAGACAGGTTGAAAATGTCAGTGAAGACACTTGCAAGTTGGTCAGTGCATGCTCGGAGTACAGCACATGTCCTGGTAATCTGTCTGGCCCTGCGGCCTTGTGAATGTTGACCTGTTTAAAAGTCTTACTCACATCGGCTACGGAGAGCGTGATCACACAGTCGTCCGGAACAGCTGGTGCTCTCATGCATGCTTCAGTGTTGCTTGCCTCAAAGCGAGCATAGAAGTAATTTAGCTCGTCTGGTCGGCTCGTGTCACTGGGCAGCTTGTGGCTGTGATTCCCTTTGTAGTCTGTAATAGTTTGCAAGCCCGGCCACATCCGACGAGCGTCGGAGCCAGTGTAGTACGATTCAATCTTAGTTCTGTATTTACGCTTTGCCTGTTTGATGGTTCGTCGGAGGGTATAGCGGGATTTCTTATAAGTGTCCAGGTTAGAGTCCCGCTCCTTGAAAGCGGCAGCTCTACCCTTTAGCTCAGTGCAGATGTTGCCTGTAATCCATAGCTTCTGGTTGGGGTATGTACGTACGGTCACTGTGGGGACGACGTCATTGATGCACTTATTGATGAAGCCAGTGACTGATGTGGTGTACTCCTTAATGCCATCGGAAGAATCCTGGAACATATTCCAGTCTGTGCTAGCAAAACAGTCCTGTAGCTTAGCATCTGCGTCATCTGACCACTTCTTTATTGACCGAGTCACTGGTGCTTCCTGCTTTAGATTTTGTAAGCAGGAATCAGGAGGATAGAATTATGGTCATATTTGCCAAATGGAGGGCGAGGGAGAGCTTTGTATGCGTCTCTGTGTGTGGAGTAAAGGTGGTCTAGAGTTTTTTTTCCTCTGGTTGCACATTTACATCTGGAGGAAACCTGGCACCATCCCTACGGTGAAGCATGGTGGTGGCAGCATCATGCTGTGGGGATGTTTTTCAGCGGCAGGGACTGGGAGACTAGTCAGGATCGAGGGAAAGATGAACAAAGCAAAGTACAGAGAGATCCTTGATGAAAACCTGCTCCAGAGCGTTCAGGACCTCAGACTTGGGTGAAGGTTCACCTTCCAACAGGATAACAACCCTAAGCCAAGAGTGGTTTCGGGGCATGTCTCTGAATGTCCTTGAGTGGCCCAGCCAGAGCCCGGACTTGAACCCGATCGAACATCTCTGAAGAGAACTGAAAATAGCTGGGCAGCAACGCTCCCCATCCAACCTGACAGAGCTTGAGAGGATCTGATGAGAAGAATGGGAGAAAATCCCCAAATACAGGTGTGACAGGCTTGTAGCGTCATACCAAAGAAGACTTGAGGCTGTAATCACTGCCAAAGGTGCTCCAACATAGTACTGAGTAAAGGGTCTGAATACTTATGTAAATGTGATATTTCCATTATTTATTTATTTTTATAAATTAGCAAACATTTATAAAAACCTGCTTTTGTTTGTCATTATGCGGTAGAATAAGGCTCCAACCTAACAAAATGTGGAAACGTCAAGGGGTCTGAATACTTTCCGAAGGCCATATACCACAAACCCCTGAGGTGCCTTATGCTATTGTAAACTGGTTACCAACGTAATAAGAGCAGTTTAAAAATAAATGTTTAAAAATAAATGTTTTGTCATACCCCGTGACAATCAGCATTCAGGGCTGGAACCACCCAGTTTATAGTGGGTTATTAAGTATACTCACTGTATAACATTCTAATGCAAAACTGGGGTTTTCCCCGTCGTTGTTAGAGATAGTTCCAACAATTTGAAAAGTCCCATCTTGCAGTGTAAGCTCATCCGCAGGGGGACCATCCTCTTCTGCCTCCTCCAAGGAGCCGCCAACTATGCAGGTTGACAGAAACTATACACAGTCGCAAAAAGTGTAAACAAAAACATTGTCAGCTACATTATGTAATATTTCACCACATCAAACGCCGATACAAAGATATTTTTGCTACTTTACCTTTGCGATACATTTAGATGAATATTGTTCAATATTGTTGACGAAAACTCGTTTAGTTCGGTAACTTTCTTTCTTTTCGTCCGCCATGTTTCCCGTTGCTGGGGAAAGATGCACGCTTTGCGGTTGCTAACATCGCCTCAGCCAATGAAATAAGTGCATTTGCAAACGTGCGCAATGAGCAATGACTGAGCACCAGAAGCATCTTGCTCAGATACCGGTAAATAAAATAAAAATTATAAAATAGAGATAAGAAAGACTTCATGCAGTTAGTTCAATGCACATTTCATAATATAACAAATGCAATGCATAAATGTTAATGCATAAATGCTCAGCCCAGTCAAAACTGTTCGCTGCTCTGGCACCCCAATGGTGGAACAACCTCCCTCACGACGCCAGGACAGCGGAGTCACTCACCACTTCCGGAGACACTTGAAACCCCACCTCTTTAAGGAATACCTGGGATAGTATAAAACTAATCCTAAATGTAAACTTTTTACACAGGGTATTTTGGCAGAAGATAGCACTTGTTCTCCAGTTGTGGTGTAAAATATTTGCTATTTTTGTGAGTCACATAATAAAACTCTACTATTCGGGGTCTTCCTTCAAAACCCACCACAACTAGTCTTTTAAACTACTCTGTTACGAATAGTGTTGATATTAATGCAATTCACAATAGGACAGGTGACTGTAGGCTATTATATAGTGAGCTCCAAAAGCATTGGGAGAGTGACATATTTTTTGTTGTTTTGGCTCTGTACTTCAGCACTTTGGATTTGGAATGATACTATGACGTTAAAGTGCAGACTATCAGCTTTAATTTGAGGGTATTTTCATCCATATCGGGTGACCCGTTTAGAAATTACAGCACTTTTTGTACATAGTCCCCCCATTTTAGGGGACCAAAAGTATTGGGACGAATTCACTTACAGTGCATTCAGAAAGTATTCAGACCCCTTCACTTTTTCCACATTTTGTTACGTTATAGCCTTATTCTAAAATGGATTAAATGACATGTTTTCATCATCAATCAACACACAATACCCCATAATGACAAAGTGAAAACAGGTTTTTAGAAATGTTTGCAAATGTATTAAAAATAAAAAACAGAAATACCTTATTTACATAAGTATTCAGACCCCTTGCTATGAGACTCGAAATTGAGCTCAGGTGAATCCTGTTTTACCCAATAAATTACTGGGAGTTTATATAAACTCAGCAAAAAAAGAAACGTCCTCTCACTGTCAACTGCGTTTATTTTCAGCAAACTTAACATGTGTAAATATTTGTATGAACATAACAAGATTCAACAACTGAGACATGAACTGAACAAGTTCCACAGACATGTGACTAACATAAATTGAATAATGTGTCCCTGAACAAAGGGGGGGTCAAAATCAAAAGTAACAGAAAGTATCTGGTGTGGCCACCAGCTGCATTAAGTACTGCAGTGCATCTCCTCCTCATGGACTGCACCAGATTTGCCAGTTCTTGCTGTGAGATGTTACCCCACTCTTCCACCAAGGCACCTGCCAGTTCCCGGACATTTCTGGGGGGAATGGCCCTAGCCCTCACCCTCCGTTCCAACAGGTCCCAGACGTGCTCAATGGGTTGAGATCCAGGCTCTTCGCTGGCCATGGCAGAACACTGACATTCCTGTCTTGCAGGAAATCACGCACAGAACGAGCAGTATGGCTGGTGGCATTGTCATGCTGGAGGGAGGGAAAGGTACCACATGATGGAGGAGGATGTCTTCCCTGTAACAGTGTTGAGATTGCCTGCAATGACAACAAGCTCAGTCCGATGATGCTGTGACCCACCGCCCCAGACCATGACGGACCCTCCACCTCCAAATCAATCCCGCTCCAGAGTACAGGCCTCGGTGTAACGCTCATTCCTTCGACGATAAACGCGAATCTGACCATCACCCGTGGTGAGACAAAACTGCGACTCATCAGTGAAGAGCACTTTTTGCCAGTCCTGTCTGGTCCAGCGACTGTGGGTTTCTGCCCATAGGCAACGTTAATGCCGGTGATGTCTGGTGAGGACCTGCCTTACAACAGGCCTACAAGCTCTCAGTCCAGCCTCTCTCAGCCTATTGCGGACAGTCTGAGCACTGATGGAGGGATTGTGCGTTCCTGTTGTAACTCGGGCAGTTGTTGTTGCCATCCTGTACCTGTCCCACAGGTGTGATGTTCGGATGTACCGATCCTGTGCAGTTGTTGTTACACGTGGTCTGCCACAGCGAGGACGATCGGCTGTCAGTCCTGTCTCCCTGTAGCGCTGTCTTAGGCATCTCACAGTACGGACATTGCAATTTATTGCCCTGGCCACATCTGCAGTCCTCATGCCTCCTTGCAGCATGCCTAAGGCACGTTCACGCAGATGAGCAGGGACCCTGGGCATCTTTCTTTTGGTGTTTTTCAGAGTCAGTTGACAGGCCTCTTTAGTGTCCTAAGTTTTCATAACTGTGACCTTAATTGCCGACCGTCTGTAAGCTGTACGTTCCACAGGTGCATGTTCATTAATTGTTTATGGTTCATTGAGCAAGCATGGGAAACAGTGTTTAAACACTTTACAATGAAGATCTATGAAGTTATTTGGATTTGTACGAATTATCTTTGAAAGACAGGGTCCTGAAAAAGGGACGTTTCTTTTTTTGCTGAGTTTATATAGAGTGTGCGACTCTCTTTATTTCTAGAGTAAAAACCATGAGGTCGAAGGAATTGTCCGTAGAGCTACGAGACAGGATTGTGTTGAGGCACAGATCTGGGGAAGGGTACCAAAACATTTCTGCAGCATTGAAGGTCCCCAAGAACACAGTGGCCTCCACCATTCTTAAACGGAAGAAGTTTGGAACCACCAAGACTCTTCCTAGAGCTGGCCGTGTTTAGAAACATATTCTATTTTTATTTGCAATTCAAGTGACTCCAAAATGACATAATACATTATTTACAATTAATTTGTATTGGCACAAAATAATCTGAAACACAACCAAAACAAACAGCAAATGCATCCAACAAATTTGTAGAAAAATGTGTCACTGTCCCAATACTTTTGGAGCTCACTGTATGTGCAATGCAACCCATAAACACACGCAGTCTCCCCATACCCCCCCCCCCCCCCCCCCCCCCCCACACACACACACACACACAGCCTCCAGCACACACACACACCTGTAGCTGCACAGAACAACAATAGGGTTTTGTTAGCGCTGACATGGAAACTTCTAAAGCACTTCACATATTTATAGAGCTGACACTATCTGACAAACTGCTGGCACTGCCTAATCTGCCTTCAAACGACCCCACTACCTACTACAGGTCTCTCTTTCAGCACACTGTAAAACACAACCACACAATGGAATGACTGTCAATGACAACACATTGTAAAACACAACCACACAATGGAATGACTGTCAATGACAACACATTGTAAAACACAACCACACAATGGAATGACTGTCAATGACAACACATTGTAAAACACAACCACACAATGGTATGACTGTCAACGGCAGCACACTGTAAAACATAATTACAGACATTGCACGTGGCAGTAAATTGTAACACATATTCATAGAATAGCAAGGTAGAGTGACATAATTAGGCAGTAAATGCCACTGGCAAACTGTTTAGATATTTCGATTGAGACTTCAGTTTTTATTCAAATAGGCAATAAACTTAAATAACTCAAATAGTAAATGTAACTATAAGTAAAAGTTATTTTCAACTTTTTCAAATTGCATGATTTCATGCTCCTGACATTCCTTACACACTACTCAACAAGTGGTTTAACTGCATCTAAATCCTGTCTTTGAGAGAGTATGGAGCTCATAATTAGTCTACCGGTATATCATCAGCATTAAATCACCTCTACAGAATCTCCCCAGAGAAGAGATGGCCATCTGACGCTACAGTCTGGGCCAGTGATTTACAGCACGTCGATATAAGGAATATTTATATTGCTATTCTTGATTAACATGCCGATCAACGTGCAGTCTGTCTACTGCTGTACTGCCTGCAGCTGTTAGAGATGGCATGTGGCACGCCCCCCCCCCCCCCCCCCCCCGTCCCGTCCCCGTCCCCCCCCGTCCCCGTCCCTAACAGGGACAGGGGACAACTGAGAATACAATTACCCCACTGTCAAGGACGGATCTCCATTTTGTTCCTCCCTCTGTATCATTCAGTTCAGTAGTATGTTTATTGTTGTTTTTGTGTCCGCTAAACGTTTTTATGACGCAAAGCACATTTCTGTGAAAACAGAAAACAAGATGCTTATCATATCTAGAATAAAGAAGACTGATACTTGATTAGTTATTTGCAGTATACTGAAACATACTAAAACTTTCTGCATTGGCCTATCTAAAGCCATGGTTCCTTTCCCACAGTTGCTCACAGCAGGAGTCTCTCAGTCCCAACCACCCAACCAACCAACAACAACAGGTGTGAAGTCAAAATGTTGCCGTGAACTGAACGTGTGTTGGTGGCTATAAAATGCAATGAAAATACCTGTGGGCCACCATCACAAGCTAGAGATTGTATACTTCTAGGTTGATTTTCACTTCAGAAATTGACTACTTTTTATCACACTGCTAGGCTGCACAAGCCTGTGGTGGATAGAGACCTGTCATTTTTAATGGTAATCAAAAATAATGTCCACCAAGGAGCCATGAATGTTAATAGCAACGGTCATCAAAATTGTTAAAATGTTTTTAAAACAATTCTAATAAATGCAACGGTTGGACAATGGAAGAAGATACTCCAAACTTGTTGAATTTTTTTAATCCAGCAGGTATTGATTGAATTATAGCACATATAACATCTTACTGGCACGGACAAATAATGAATGAGTTCAGGGATTGTGGTGGGAATTCAGGTATTCCATTTTTTGTCAAATTCCACTTTTTTTCTTAGAATGCACTCAAATATACATTTTCTAATGATATCAGGTATTTTTTTTAAATATTTTGTGTTAAAATAAAGAAAATGATATGTGCCTCATTTGCATAAGCACACAGGAGTACTAGCATATATTAAAACATTAACATAAAGGGGTGGAACAGGGCTGCAACCACCAAAAACGTGCTC